GAGTGAGTGGAAATCAGATTTGAATAAATAATAAGAATCCTTGCATTTAATTTAGTGCCTGTAATGTCCCAAAGGTCTCAAACCCTTGTGGAGTCCTGTAGCTCAGTGGTTAGAGCACTCGCTTTGCAAGTGAGAGACCTGAGTTCAATTCCAGGCAGAGGGCGAAACCTTGGGCAAGTTTCCTTACTCCACACAGAGCCTAATAATAATCCCTCCAAAACCCAAATCAATAATAAATTGGTCATTTTCAATCTACGACTGTTTGTGGGACATTGCTGTGAGCAATTGGCTGCTGCGTTCGCCCACAAATATACAGTCAATTCACTTTACAGTGTGTTATGTGAAGCGCTTTGGGACGTCCTCCCAACGTGAAAAGCGCTATATCAAATGCAAGGATTATTATTATTATTAAAACACTTCACAAAAATTTCTGTAAAGCTGTGTATTTGCAGGTAAACTCAGTAGCCTATTTTGGCAGAGCAACAAAACAGCCATGAAACTAAACTAATGACTAAATATATTTGGGGGATTGTTGACCAGTATACTGGAAGAAACTCCTTACTATTTTCAAATAATAATAATAATCCTTGTATTTGTTGTAGCCCCTTATTACGTCATTGAAATATCACAAATCAATTCAGAGAATATGCTGTAAAGTGCATTTTGTGGGTGGATTACACCAGGCAATTAATTGAGCACAGTTAAATAATGCTATTTGATCATAATGTCCACCAGAACAATCAGTTCAGCTTCTCGTTAAACCTCAGTTTAACTTCTTATGCAAAGGATTCCTTAGGACTGAATAGCAGAAACACAATCCATATCATGTGCAAGCTGCATCAGCATCATTTCACAAACTCCAATGAAAGGAACATCAAATCAATTGCTTATTTTTTGGGATTGGTTGAGGCAGGTGTGTTAGCCAGAATACCAGGAGAAGCTCCCTCCTCCTTTTCAAAATAGTTTCATTTAACATGCAACTCAACTGATAGAAGGGAACATATTTTACATTTTCCAGAAGGATATTAAGATTTAAAACAGAAAGGTTTCTCAGACTAAGACTATGTGGATTGATATACTTTCTCCAGTAGAGTCCTATAGTGATTAGCACACTCACCTCAAATGCAAGAAGTTCCCGGGTTCAATTCCCGGGCAGGACAAAACCTTAGGCAAGTTTTCTTACTTCACAAGCCTCTGTTTACCGAGCAGTAAGTAGGACCTGGGTTGTTAGTCAATTGGCGGTAATAATCCCTCAAGACGAAACTCAATCCATGATTGTTTGTGGGATACACAATTGGTTGACGTGTTACGTCCACAGAATACGGTGTTAATGCACTTTACACTATTCTGTGAAGCGTTTTGAGACGTCTCAATGATCTGATGAGGCACTATATCAAATGCAAGGATTATTATTATTATTGGGACTCCCAGAGCGCAGCCCTGTTATTGTCAAGTCAAATCTTCAAGCCATCTTATCAGCTGGCAAATTGGAAGTGACAGTAAAAAGACAACAATTTACTTACAAATTCTACCCCTTTTCTTGGAAAAAAAACACTTTCCGGTAACATTAGACTACTTGAAAGGGCTATTTTAGTCTTTAATACTGGATATGTAATACAGATCTACTGACTAATAAAAAATGAATGACCTGAAGGTAGAACCTCATTAAATATTCAAGACTCAATAAACTTTTTGTTGCGGTATTTTTTAACATGTTAATATGCTTTTAATTGCATTGGACTAACTGCAGTTTACAATAATGTGTTAGCTAGCTATGGAGACAGCCTCATGGGACTGTAAACTCAAATAACAGGCAAAAGGGAAAAAAAAAGGAATGGAAAAATGATATATGTAAATTCATCTTTTTATCCTTTTGAAGATATTAATGCATGTAAACAGCAACTGTTTGGGTCTCAATTAACATCTTAAAAAGTCCTGTAGCATTGTGGTTAGAGCACTCGACTCATAAGTGAGAGGACCTGAGTTTGATTCCCAGGAAGGGTGAAATCTTAGACAAGTTTCCTTACTCCACACCCCTCTGTTTACCTAACAGTAAATAGGAACCCAGTTAGTTGATTGGCGGATTGCTTTCCGGGGGTATTAAACCCTTAAAACAAAAGTATTCACTAAATCCACGACTGTTTGTGGGGCACTGCTGTGCACAATTGGCTGCTGCCCACAAAATATACAGTCAATTCAACCTCCACATCGACCTGTCTGATCCTTCCGCTCAGCGCTCTCTGGCCTGCTCCACATCCCCCACACTGGCCACCCCACCATCAGTGGTCAGGCCTTCAGCCTCTCTGCCCCCACCCTTTAAAACTACATCCCTCGGTCCCTCCCTTGCCTCCTTCAAGGCACGTCCATGACTGCACTCTTCGACCTCGCCTTCGGTTACCCTCCTACCCCTTCCCTCCCCACCCTCAGCCTAAACTATATGAGTTCCCAACTCCCTGGTCGTGTCCAAATCCCTGATTGCTCAGCACTTTGGGACATCCTCCCATACAGGCGCTATAGAAATGTAATTTATTGTTGTTAATCGTGAGGCTGTAATGCAGAATTTCATTATCGGGCACCGTTTCAGCCAAGAATGTTAGAGAAAAACACAGGAAGAAATTTATTAACAGAGAGTTAGAACTTGCATGTATTCTAATCATGTATCATATTTAACAGTGTCTGTGCTAGGAGCATTAAATCTACAAGATTCATTGATAGATATTAAATGGTTGGCCCGTTAAAAGTAAATAATAAATAATGCCATTAAATTCAATGAACCTCACGTCTATGACAAACCAAGCATGACCAACTGAATTAGATGTTAAACAAATATAGAGATGTAAACATGCCCCAATAAATGACCACAAGCAGTTTAAGATTGAAAGAATGCTGCAATATCAGTCGAACAATCAGTCAAAAGAAGTCTTCTACTGTGGCAAGTTTTCTCAAGCTTTACCTTACTCTTTTGTAGGAAAAGCTGAGGGAAGATGTTTAAAACACTGACAATCTTTCACTGAGAGTCGTAAAGCAATGTTGACGTTTATTTGAGATTGGAAGCCGATGAAATGTGAATGTAATTCAAAGTGAAATACCTAAGGAAGCTACGAAGGAGTGGTCATTTGAGGCAGTTTATAATCATGGAAAGCTTCAGCTTGTAGTTTTACATCAATCTTCATCTTCATGTATGTCAGCCTGGCTCAGTCAATAGCACTTTCACCTCGGTTTTAAAAGGTTGTTAGTTCAAGCCCCAGGTTGAAACGTGAAACTCGTATAGCTTAGGCTGACATCCCAATGCAGTGTTGGGGGTGGGAGGGGGAAGCGGGGCAATGCATTGTTAAGAGGCGCTGTCCTTCAGATGAGACATTAAACCGAGGTACCATCAACCTGTTCATGTACAAAGGCAAATGGTGTTGGGAATATTTTGGGTGAAAGAAGTGCTTGAGTTTGAAAGAGTTACGAGTGTTGTATGGAATTATGTGAATTGCAGGGCAAGCCATATTGCCAACAATGGGCTTTTCTTGCCCTCTACTTTTATGGCAAGCAGAGCTAAATTCTTCAGATTGTGCTTCTGCAACATTACATTATTACTGTTCAAACATTGAATACTGAATGCCTTCTCCTGCGCCTTAAATTTCTACTTGTAAAGGAAAAAAAATTGCAGGGCTATGGGTTAAGAGCGAGGGTGTGGGAATAGTTGGTTGCTATTTCAAAGAGCTGGCACAGGCACAATGGGCCAAATGGCCTCCTTCTTTGCTGCAAGATTCTATGATTCTATTAATTTGCAGGAGTATGGAGGAAAAGGCAAGTAAATGAGACTGAATGAATTTCAAAGAGTCAGCATAGACACAATGTGCAACTGGCCTTTTGTACTTTAAAGTTCTATAGTTCTATTAATATTAACAAATATGATATTGTTGTTTAGTTGTTCATGAATTTTCAATAACCACGTTTCTCTCTCTCTCTCTCTCTCTGCCATTGTTTGAAAGCAGGCAAGTGGTTGAGCTTTTAAATCACAGTTTTAAGATAGCTTCTTAGGTAAAAACTAAGAATTTGAAGAGGTAACATCCCCAATACATTGTGAAGGTCTATAGCATATCAACCCATGTCCTACAATCCCATAGATTATAGGAATGTCTCTAGTCCAGGAAGTGTCTTATCAATAGTACTAAGTCTTAACATTCATTCCTCCTGGACTGTGACTTCTCAAGGCCATAAAAGCTATGTGGGATGGAACTACTATCTGGAAAAACATGTGAATATTGTGCACACGACTCAGTCTGTGTAAAACAGAATGTTAACCAGCAGAAATAGATAATCTTAAAGACTTTTTAATTTACATGGACACACTCACCATCGGCCCACCCCCATGTTCTTGTTGACTCCTTCTACGGTAGGCCACTAACATCACCATGTACCAGCCATAAATCAGCACTGGTCTTACCTTGAATCAGTCCAAGACAATGAAATTGCAGTATAATAATACTAATACTAATGATAATCCTTGCATTTGATATAGCACTTCATTGAGGAACCATATTTTAAACCATATTATAATAATACTGTAATAAACCTTAGATTTGATATAGCGCCTCATCACATTGTTGACACGTCTCAAAGTGCTTCAGAGAATATAAAGTGAATTGACTATATATTTTGTGGGTGAAAAGGATAGCCAATGCACCCAGCAGTGTCCTACAAACAGTCATGGATTGAATGAGCAAATGTTGAGGGATTATTACCTCGAAATGCGATCCACCAATCAACTAACAACCAGGTTCCTACTTACTGCTAGGTAAACAGAGGCGTATGAAGTAAGAAAACTTGCATAAGGTTTCGCACTGCCCAGGAATCAAACCCAGGTCCTATCAATTTGCTGCAGGACTGCACGGTTATTATCCATGAAATATGAAGTATTAAGAGTTGAAGAGATTTTACACCTGAAACCTACATCTGAAATGACAGGCTTTTAATTGCTGCTGTCGTTTCCTTTCCCCCTCCCTTAGCTGCGGAAGGCTGTCATGGATCACATCTCAGACTCCTTTCTGGAAACCAACGTTCCTCTCCTGGTTTTGATCGAAGCAGCCAAGAGCGGCAATGAGAAGGAGGTGAAGGAATACGCCCAAGTATTCCGCGAGCACGCCAACAAGCTGGTGGAGGTGAGTCAGTACATACCGGAATTCAAATTCCACTTCAATAATTTATGACTCCTTTTAACTTGTAACAGTTGAAACCAGAAGTAATAAAAACTATATTCATTGGGGGCGGCTATAAAACACCATCTGACATAAGTGAAGCAACAACCTCGAAACATCAATTCAATCATTTAATAATCCCGGGAGATTTTTTAGCAAATTCTTGCTTCCTTTTCCTAAAGAAACTGACAAACTATAGTTTAAAGCTCTGTGTTTTGCCTGTAAAAGCATTGCTGGCCACTGAGATGAACTTTTTTTGGGGGGTGGTAAAGGCAGCAAGTCGTGCGATTGCCAGAAAGTTCAAACCTGTGTTTAGCTATCGGTGAGAGCGAACACTCAAGAGTGAAATTATTGTTGGTAATAATTATCACATCACATTCTAAGTTTCTCACCCTTCGACTGGGCTTTATTCCAAGCTTCACAGATGACTCCTCCTCATTCTGAGTTCCATATGAAACAAGGAGTTTTGATCGAGTAAATAGAGAGCAACTGTTTCCTCTGTTGAGTGGGTAACCAGAGGACACAGATTTAAGATAATTGGCAAAAAAAATCTACCCAGAGAGTTATGGTCTGGAATGCACTGCCTGAAAGGGTGGTAGAAGCAGATTCGATCGTAGCTTTCAAAAGGAAATTGGTTAATAATAATAATAATCCTTGCATTTGATATAGCGCTTTTCACGTCTTCTAGACGTCTCAAAGCGCTTCACAGAATAGACTGTAAAGCAAATTGACTGTATATTTGTGGGCGAAACGCAGCAGCCAATTGCGCACAGCAGCATCCCACAAACAGTTGTGGATTGAAAATGACCAATTTATTATTGTTTTGTTTTGGAGGAATTATTATTAGGCGTGTGGAGTAAGGAAACCTGTCCAAGGTTTCGCCCCGCCTGGAATTGAACCCAGGTGTCTCGCTTGGAGGCGAGTGCTCTAACCATTGAGCTACAGGACTCCATGGATAGGTACAGGATGGGTACTTGAAAAGGAAATATTTGTAGGGCTATGGGGTAAGAGTGGGGGAGTGGGACTAGTTGGTAGCTCTTTCAAAGAGCCGGCAGAGGCACCAAATGGCCTCCTTCTATGCTGTAAGATTCTAAGGCCTTCTGAGATCCAGAATTGGTTGTGTGTGACCTGTGAGCATAACTTTCCAGAGAGAATCTTGGCCTCACGGGTGCAATGTTGGGTTATTTAAAACAAAAGCCGTGAAATCCCACCTGGTCTTAATCTTTAATACCGTTTGGTTTTACAAGTTAAGACCATGTAGAAATTGGTGGAAAATTCTTTAGTCTTAATTTAGTAGCCGGTTTGTTTTTAGGAACTAAGGAAAAAAACACTTCTAAGTTAAGCCTGAATTGAAGACTTTTTCACCATTTTGTTTGAAGACACAAAGTCTGACAGGCTAAGAGAAGGTGCAATTTCAGGTGTAAGCTTGGTAAATTACTACTGATAATCAAACTCTTTAGCCTTTTGGAAATAACTATGCTGGAAACTGTGTGTGTCCCATCCCAAAATATTGTATCATATGCAAGCAGTAAGTTGGCTCTATATCTTGGTACAGTGGAACTTGGAACTCCACAATAATCGTATGTTTATAGCCAATGTGTCTATTGATATTATGTGATCTTTTATATGTGGGAAATCAGGATTGTTCATAAATAATAATAACAAACAACCTCTCAAGCAACTCTATTCACAAACACACTGTGATCCTATGGTCTAGGCCTATGTTCACCTAGATCTGAGATACATTAAACCTGGGTCCAGGCCCTCGAACTATATTTACCAAATACACCTTTAGCCGATATGTCAGGGTAGGGAGGTTTTTCCAATTTACCAAAGTTCTTACCTTTCTCATCTCTTCCTACAGTCTCCTCTGCTGAGCGCCTCTTCCCTCCCACTGTCATTCCCATTGGATGGGAAGAAGATCAATTAGCGGCAGTTTTAGGAGGTGTCAATCACTTCGGAGCCGCCACTAAATGGTCCCATTCTCATCCATTGGATGCAGTCACTGCCCCCCCACCAGCTCCTTGTGAATAGCTGGAGTCCGCTGGCAATCACAATCTGACTCCTCCCATCTCCATCCTGAAGCCACTTGACACACAGAGTGAGTACATTCAGCAGCGATTAGCATGGCATTTTGCCCAGATTAACAGGATTTTTGTCTGAATTAACAGGCTTATTTAAAACAGATAAGAATACAAATGAATCGGGGCCGGGTGTTTCATACAATTTACCCGGCGTCTGGGGTTACCCAGTGTCCAGCTAAACTGGATCCCACTATATTGCAAGGAATGGTGCTGCCTTCCTGTGGAGTGTACAGGCAAGGATCAGCTTCAGATTGATAGCAATTGATTTGGAGCCTCTCGGTATTACTACCAAAAGTTAGATGCATCGTTGGCCTAAAATTGTGTCATTTCATGGAGGGATTTAAAATATAGCATTCAAACCCAACTTTGCGTGAATTTGAATATTATAGTTCAAATTCCTCCTTGGCCTCACGTCTCCCTACCTCTGCGACACTCCTTACCCAGTGTTTTTTTTCGCTCAGTGAACACTGGCCTGCTATGTGACCTCCCCCATCTGTCCTGCTGCCCTGCTCTCTGGAACTCCAACTCAGACTCACTCCAACTCAATCTACTCACTTTCCACTTTTAAAATCCGCCTCAGGATTTACCTCTTTGATCTAGCTTTTGGTTATCTTACTCCTCCCCAATCCTCTTCAGCTCCCACCTAAAACCTAATGGATGGGTGGTCCGAACTGGACAAACAGCGGAAAAGCTTGCCAGACAGCGATATCAATGGCAAGCTGTGCGGTATTAGCTGGTTAGACTCCAGCAGTACCCCAATGCACACTCTGGGCTCTTGCCAACCTGCACCTAATACTTTCCGGAAATAGGTAATCAGGATGTGTCCCTCCAGGGAGAGAGTGCACATTCCATTCAACAATCTCTCTCTGGAATTTCCATGCGTAGCTGAGATGCATGGAAAACTCAGTTTGGTTTGGATACTCGTAAAGCATTGTGATTGGTTTCCGCATATGTCAGACACTAAGCTGACCAAACAAAAGCTCCTGCCTTGTGGTTCGGGTGCCCAGCCAGATATCTAAAGCGCTTTGCAACATCCAGCATTTGGAAAGGTGCTGCATGATTGTAACTGTATTGTAATTGTATTGTATAGTTCGATGTGAGATGCCACTTTTCATCCCACTGTGTCAGTCAGATTTAGCACATAAACAAGTAAATGTTCTGATTTGTTTTACACACCAGTAGAATTCCTCTGCATCAAAAACCCTTCTGTGAAGTTATGATTTTTAAAACATTATTTATGAACATTCATGGTGGGGCGAGGGATTGTGTGTATTTTCCAAATGCGATGCTAAATTATATTAAGCACGATAATTCCAGGTTTTTTTTGAAACAGCAAGAAATATTTGTTGGATGGTGGAATTAGTTGCCCCCTTCTGCGGCTTAAGTTGAAAGATATCTGAATATGGCAGATGAAGCTAAACTGGAGAGAGTGAGAAAGATCAGATGAATGTCACAGATTTTCAAACTAGACAGCAAATAAGACCAGCTCCTATGTAATTCTGTTGGAAAATATCAGACCAATTAGAAAATTCCCCCAAAACAAGGATAATGAGCAACAAATAAATAAACATGGTGATGTGTTGAAAGTGTTTTTTCTGCATTAAAGACATTATTGTTTTGTGATGGAACAGGAGAGCAACTTCACTTAAGCGAAAGGTCCTGGGTTTGATTCCCGGGCAGGGTGAAACCTTAGGCAAGTTTCCTTATTCCACACATCTCTGTTTACCTAGCAGTAAGTAGGAACTCTGTTGTTAGTCGTTTTCCAGGATTAATAACCCCTTCAAATAAAAATAATAATAATCATTTGGTTACTCAATCCACAACTGTTTGTGAGAGACCTCTGTGTGCAATTGGCTGCTGCGGTTCATCCACAAAATATGCAGTCAATCCACTTTACAATATATTCTGGGAAGCGCTTTTCTCAATGACATGACAAGTCGTTGTATCAAATGCAAGGATTATTATTATGATGATGATGAGTAGAGAGTGTATTGGTAACTTTGGGTTTGAAGTGTGATAGGCATCTGTCGATCCAGTGAGTCTCGGAACACCTAAGACTCATCAGAGGTGTCATCCTTCAGATGAGACATTAAAACGATGTCCTGTCTAATTGTTCATGTGGCTATTAAAGATCCCATGGCACGATTTTGGAAAGATTGAAAATCCAAATCTCAGATAAAATACTGGTAATTCACTTCATGGCTACAAATTGGCTGTCTTGTTCACCTACACATACACAGTCACTTTACCTTCACCTACACTTTGCAGTAAACTCTTTGAGACAATTTGGCATAATGAGGATATAAAATACAAGGATTATGTTTTAATATTATTATTCTAACCACCATTTTGTTAGGCCATTCCACATCGTAATAACACAATGTACAAAACAAATTCTCACCTCTCCCTCTATTTGTTTGAAATTGATCTTAAACATATTTCCTGTATTTGATGAGTCACTGACCAGTGAGAATAGCTTCTCTCTATTTATCATCTCTGCTAATATTTTTGAACACCGAATAACAGTAATCCTTTCATTAGGTATAGTGCCTATTACATCAGGAGGATGTCTCAAAGTGCTTACAGGATTTACAGTACAGTGTAGTCACTGCATTTTGTAGAGGAACTACAGCAACAAACCTGCACACAGCAATGTCCCACAAACACACATGAAGTGAATGACCAATTTTATCGAGGTGGTTGTTGACCAGGTCACCCTTTTCTTTTCGACTCGTGCCATTGGGAGTAATAACATCCACTTGAACAGGAAGACGAGATCTCAGTTTAACATCTCTTCTGAAGGATGTCACTTCTAACAATATGGTCACTCAATCCATGATTGTCTGTGGGACACTGCTGTGTGCAATTGGCTGCCGCTGT